GGCGGGAGCGTCGCCGCACTTCCCAAGCGGCGCACTATCCAGTGCGCCACCGGGCCGGCCCCAAGGGACCAGTCTTGAAGTGAGGCCATATCACAAGGAATCCTTTAGGTCCTTCTTTGTTTGAATTTTTCCAAAAAGCATGGATAATAGTGAAAATCCCATGAAGAAGGAAGGAAGCAATGGAAAAAGACCTAGGGAAGAGCATCACTTAGTCCGACCTACACAGGCAAATTTTGCCCCCAAGAGGAAGCTCCCTAGAGAGTGTGGCCTGGTGTAAGGTGTGTTCTGTGGAGGAGCAGGGGACCTGGGTTTCCAGCTGTGCCTGCTTGCTTTCTCACTGTGGGCCTGTGGACAGCCACTGTCCCCTCCGGAGCTCGTCCCTCACCTATGTCCATGTGTGAGGCTGCTCTGACGGGGTGCTGGACCCCTCTTTCACTTGCTGGGAGTCTGGGTTTCTTCTGAAGGGCAGCAGGGACCTCAGAGGTCACAGAAACGGAGGGGGTCCCAGGTGCAATGGAAACGTAGTGTGAGTGCCCTTTCTGTCACTAGTGAATAGGAGGAGGGGAGACGTGGCCTGCAGAGGTGAGCTGGTGGGGAGATGGCTCCAGGCAGCCTCCCCCTCTGCCCCCACCATCCCCCCCTCCCGGTCCGCAGCTATTTTGGTCCCAGAGAACTTCCTCCCACAACTCTGAGGAAACACTGGAATCGTGACCCACAGCCCCCCCAAGCTATTTTGGTCCTGGGCTCCCCACTCAGCCCTTCTCTCTCCACAACCTCACTCAGCATAGCTTCTCTACGTGTGCTAAGCCCAGGCTCTGGGAAAGCCCCTGGGACAGAGCTCCCAGCTATTCTTGTCATTCTACTGCCGGCCCTTCTCTCTCCACAACCTCACTCAGCATAGCTTCTCTACGTGTGCTAAGCCCAGGCTCTCGGAAAGCCCCTGGGACAGAGCTCCCAGCTATTCTTGTCATTCTACTGCCGGGTGCTTATGTGACAGAGTCGCAGCTGAACCTTGCCTGCCTCTGGGCCAGGCTTGGATGCCACGGGGTGAGGGTCCCATCCCACCCTCCAGTTGGGACTGGCTGGTTAAGTTGTCACTTCTCAGCTTCTCCTCTGAGCTCCCCGCCCCATGCTTACACTTAACAGAACTTTGCTGAGGCCCTTTGGCCAGCTCAGAAGTCAGGCCCTGACTCTTTAGGATATAGCCAGAGGACAGTCAGCCTGTCAGGGCTTGAATTCTGACTCCAATACTTAGCAGCTATGTGACCGGGCAAGTGACGGAAAGTCTCTGTGCCTCAGTTTCCTCCTCTGTGGAGTGGGGACTTCATTAGGGTTCTTGTGAGGATAAGATGAGCTAAAATAGATAATATGCTTAGAATAGGGCCTGGAAGATAGTAAGTATAATAGTATTTGCCATTGCTATTTCTTCAAGAGTTTTCCCAGCACTTACAACACTTAAAAAGCAGACTGGTAGAGTAGAATAGGGCTTAGAAGTCAAGTAAATTTGGGTTTTATCCATGGCCTTGACACTTTCTAAATGAGTGACTCTGGGCAATGTTTTCATTGTTCTAAATCTCAGTTTCTTCATTTGTAAAATGGGGATAATAAAAACGAGGGTCTAATGACATAATGCATGCCAAGTTCTTCGGTCATGGTGAAAGCTCAGTATTAGGTCTCCTTATTTGTTTTCTGTCTGCCTCTTTCAATCATAAGCACCATAGAGGCAAGGGACGTCTATCTCATGAACGAATGGATCCCCACTGCATAGCATGCATTGCAAGGATTCAACAAATACTTGCCAATGGGAAAAGCTGGTATTCAAGAAGGCAAGTACAGATCAGGGCACACAGTAGGTGCTCAAGAGCTCTAAGTGGAACCTTTGCTTCTAGTGAGGCAGGCCCTCCCTGCCTGCACCCAGCCCTGCCCCCTTCCTCACCTGCTGTGCAGCGCTGGATCCGGTTCCGCAGCCACTTCAGCAGGGGTTCCATGGTGCAGCCGCACACCCACGGGTTACCACCGATCTGCAGGGTCACCAGCCCTGGCAGGCCCTCAAGGGCCTCAAGGCTAAGGAAAGCCAGGCCTCCATAGCTGAGGTCCAGGTCCCGGAGCTGCACAAGGCCCTGGAAGGCCTGGGGGTGTACCCTCCGCAGCCATGGGTTGTGGCTCAGGTCTATGTGCACAAGTCCATGGGCCTCCTGGAACATGTCAGCTGGCACGTGGCTGAGGTTGTTGTAACTGAGATCCAGGTGTGCCAGACGCTTGGCGTGGAGGAAGAGGCCGGGGGGCAGCTCCACCAAGGAGTTGTTGCGCAGATCCAGCACCCGGAGCTCCACATAGCACGTGAGGTAGCCGGGCGGCACGGCGGCTATACGGTTGTGGGCCAGGCTGAGGTTGCGGGTGTCCCTTGGCAGGTCTGGAGGCACAGAGAATAAGCGCTGGCTGCTGCAATCCACAACCTGGTTGTGGCATGTGCAAAGGACTGGGCAGCTGGTGCTGGCATCTGAGTGTGTCACCCCGGCTGCCAAGAGGAGGGAGATCAGCAGCATAGTAGGGTGGGGGGGCCCTGGCCAGGGAAGCTGGGCCCAAGTGTCACCCATCTTAGGCAGCTGGCAGCAGCAGTGCCGAAGGGAGCCCATTGGGACTATGTCCATGGAGTCAAGAGTCAGTGGCACA